AAGAAATAATGTTAGTATTAAGGTTTATATGTAGCACTAGGATGCCTGACTCCAAACAGGATGATTTTCATTTACTTCCTTGGTGTTGACCTTGAGCAAAGTAGAATTCATCAGAGTGCTTGTAAATATAAGAGTGAAAAACCAAGAAAAATTTAAGTATAATTTTTAGTTTATTGTAGAAGTATGGTCAGACGCTATTTTTCAATGTAATCACTTTCTAACTCAACCCATTTATTTTAGTGATGGACAAGCTTTCTGTTGTTATTTTTTTTTAAAAGAAACTATGTATATGAAAAATTGGGGGAAAAGGGAGGGAAGAACCATTTCATGATTAAAAAGAGATGACTTCAGGCTGTGTCAAAAACTTGCAGTGTGATCCTGGGCAAGTCACTTCACCTTGTTATGCTTCAGTTTCTCCATCTTTAAAAAAGGAGCTTGGTTTTTCTGAAGCTCTGTGTTTGGAGGGAAAAAAGGAGCTTAGTCTATGCCTCAGTTTCTCTTAACAACAACAAAAAAGTTTGGTGTAGATCTTCAAGTGTGGTCTTGGACCAGCATGATTGCCATCACCTGGGAACTCATCAGACAGGCACATTTTCAGACCCCACCCAGACCTGCGCATCAGCGCTTTGGGGGTGGGGCTCAGCAGTCTGTCGTTTAGCCAGCTCTCCAGGTGTTGGTGATATGTACTCAAGTCTGAGAACTATAATCCCGTTGTGAAAGCTGGGATCCCAGATGCCTGAGCTAATGCTGCAGAAGAACCAAAACAGCGGATCTTCCTGGTCTCAGAGGTCACTTTCAGCTGGTAAGTGTGTGATTCCAAGATTCTCCCTGATTTTGTACATTGCTCCTTGCATTTCTGTGTCAACTTCCTGCCAGTGGAAATCAAACACAGTTAACTTTTCAGTACACAACACAGCCCTATGTGAAAAAGCCTTCCAGCAGTAGTACCAACCAGGAACTCTAGTTTTAGATCCAGAAAAGCGAGTGCTTGAAGACATGAGCATTCAGTGAGTATCATTGCTGAAAAAGAAATGTTAGTGTTGGCTATAAAGTCCTTCTTGCCATCTTGGGTGTTTCTGGTTTCACCTGAGTGGAGGCAGTATTGCCTAACGACGTGAGTAGGAGCTCTGGCTTCCTACTGCCTGTTTTCAACTTGAGTCCACCACTTCTGGCCTCGGGCAAATTAGAATCAGAATCTCAGTTTCCCCGTCTGTAAATGGAACACACACAGCACCTGCTTCAGCATTATTGTTAGGATTCAAAATATACGGTTCACGTAAACATGCTTTGCACAGCAGCTTGCGTGCATTCAGCATTCAATGACTGCTGAGCATTCAGTGAATGTTAAGTCTCCTTCTTAGTATTCTGCAGCTTTCAGATGAGGGTGGTGTTTTCTTGTAATAGATAATGTGTGAATGGTATGTAAATGTGAAGGAAAAGTAAATATTTGGAAAATTATATCTGGGAAGCATGTTATACATGCAGCAATGGTACAGTGGTCAATGATCTCAGAGGAAAGAGTTAGATATTATGACGTTATCTCTCAAAAAGAGGGAGAACAGATTAGCACATCTAATCCCTTCTGTCATGTTATCTCTCTAAACGTTCCTCTCACCTCCTCACAGTGCTGAATTCTGACCTAGTTTTTTTGAATCACTTCCAAAGTTCACTAAGCTCTAACTAATAGGCGTCTCAGATTAGGCAGGTCTCCTATCATGTGTTTATACCACCCTCATAGTTCCCCTTTCATAGCATGCATTGCAAAACTTCAGATTGTCCTCACCTGTCTGTAAGCTCTGTGAAGACCAGGACCATGCCTGTTAATTCTATGTCTTCATGGTTTAGCCCAGTTCTTGGTGCAAATACAGTAGCCCAGAACCAACCCCAACCAGAAAGCCTTGGCACAAACGTGTGTCCTGAATGGGTTACAGGTGTGCTGAGATGCTGATCACTTAGTCCTTAGAGGGTTCAGGCTTGGGTAGAGATTGCCAGGGTCCCAAAGCCAGTCTCTTCCCACCTCTAGCAGCTTCATCTGTTTACTCCAGTAAGAAGTAAAATTGTCTTAGGTGTGCTGTGATGGTAAAGGGTTGGGAAACATTGCAATATTTGTTGGATGGATAAAATAATATTTATAATACATAGATGAATGAATACTTGGATGTCCCACCTCATGAAAAATTATGCTCATCTATTGAACATTGTAATAAAATCAAAGAAATAGGTGAGACTTATCACAGGACAGATTGAATGATGATTTAAATAGTCCCAAACCAAGCTGAGTTGATTGCTTGCTAGGCAAGGGACAACTACATTCTATAGGAAAGATACTTTAGTTTCTTCAAATAGAAAACAAGAGTTAGATCTAGTCTGACAAAGAAGTTTTATTTAAGTAGGGCAAAAATCTTCCTGTCAATCTCTGATTGGATCAGAAGTAGACTAGAAAATCTGTTGGGATAGGCTGTTATTCAGTTTTGTGTTGTTGACACTGAGAACATAGTCCTCAGTCAGGTCCTGAATGGGTTAGTAGACTCTGGATGGCTTAGCTGGCAACACTAAATGTGCCTGTTCCAAGGCTAGGTAGAGCTTTTCCACATAGCATCACTGTGAAACGCCCCCCCCCCTTATTAACTTCATTGTAATTTAACCAGTTGTTTTGGCAAAATGGCCCCATGGATTTGACTGGGGTAGGTGGTTATTCATTTGTCATCATTGCTAGTTAAAACAATAACCACATAACGTTGATTGTTCCAGCTGTTGTCCAAATTAGGAAGATGAGTTGAGCAGTATTAAATAGGTCAGAATTGGAGGATGAGCCAAGATGGCTGACTAGAGACATCGCTTTTTGGATTGTCCTGGCTGGAAGGTGGAATATGGGACTGAAGAAAGCTGAGGGCAGTTGTAGCTCAGGTGTGAATCACAGGGAGAGACAATAGAGATGTTTGGAGACTCAACCAAGAAAAACTGTGAAGCTGAGAAAGAAGAGAAGAGAGACAATAGTACAGTCCAACTCCAGAGAAGCTTGGAGCCCAGTGAAAGGTGGGAGGGGGGGAGCTTCCCCTCCCCCACACAGATACCTTCAGTGAGCATCGGGACATAAAGCACTTTGGAGGCACTTCTACCCTCCAAGAACCTATGCATGGTGGCTAAATAGGAATATTGGAGTGAACCAGTGATCCACAGGAGTTTGGGTGTTCTAAAGTGACACTTTGCAGGAGAGTGCCACAAGAGATCGAGTGCAGGCTATCTGACAGTTAGACATTTCCTCCTCTGCACCCCCTCCAATTTCAGCATTCAAGAGAGTAATTTTAGCTCTCAGGCTGGCTGGTTTCTGTGGTCCCTCAACCCCATTGCAACCGCGAGAATAGAGAATACTCTGAACCAAGCAGCGCACAAATGGCTGCGTCTGCACAGCAGGTGACCGTTCCGGTGGAGCCCGCCACTAAGAGTGGGGCTGCCGCAATTTGCGAGCTTCCTGCCCACAGGTGTTTCATGGGATCACACGCTGGAGGCTTAGACAGGCAGGCCAGAACTGGTGCCCCCTCCAGACATGCGAGGGAGACTCCGGGGCGCAATCTCCGTCCTGGGCATGGGTGGTGAGGAAGCCCTCACGGATATATCCAATGGGAGAGTGTGGAGGAGTGCTGAAGAGTGGGGATCTGTGAGCACGCCCATCCCTCACCCGCGCTGGAGAGCCACCACATTGGATAGGGTGCAGCACTGGGAGTGGATTAGCCCAGCCCCTGGTTCCCACGGCAACCGAATGCCTCAGGCACCCAGGCTGAACAGGAGCAGCAGCCCCTCCCGCACTCATTACTACAGGGAGTGCAATCTGAGCCAAGAAACTCGTGAGTGGCTGCTTCCCCCAGGCAGAGTGTGCCCCTTGCAGAGGCCCCTGAGGTCAGACAGACCAACCTCTCTCCCCTTGGGGTCTTGCGGTGGAACAGGGGTGTACAACTGGGGATCCCCTCACCTACCAGCGTCCTACAGAGATGCACGCTGGTGGGTCCGACACACAGACTGGGGGGGTAGTTTGAGAGCCGGTCTTGGGTGGGAGGGGAACTCACGTGAATTGATCTGATGGGAAACTAGCATGGAGGTACAGGGAGTGAAGAGGGAGCGCGTCCACCACACCCTGCAGAGAAACTGCACTAGTGGACAAGAGCAGAAAGAGCCTGACACAAAGTCTTAGCTTTCAAGAGATTAGGTCCCTCCCTCAGAAACAGCCTACCTGGCTTGGAGAGATTGTCCTGAACTTCATACCAGTGGCTCCGCCTAGTGGCAAGATAGGCAACCTCCGAGACCTGCCCAGGCCTTGCAAGGCCTCTCTGGCTCTTGCAGTTCAGCAACGATAGTCTTGCTCCTCCACCCAACTCAGGGGGAGTAGAAATCAAGCAAACTCCTGGACACTACAAAAGTTCTTTGGTAAAAAAGACACTTGCACTTGAATGTTTATAGCAGCGCAATTCAGAATTGCAAAGATGTGGAAACAGCCCAAGTGCCTGTCAATTCATGAGTGGATTAATAAAATGTGGCATATGTATACCATGGACTATTACTCAGCCATAAAAAAGGTGAACTAATACCTTTTCTAACAACCTGGATGGAACTGGAGACCATCCTTCTAAGTGAAGTATCGCAGGAGTAGAAAAACAAACACCACATGTACTCCCCATTAAATTGGAACTAATTGATCAACACTCATGTGCTCATACGGTAGTAAAATTCAATGGAATTGAAGCAGGTGGGAAGGGGAAAGAAGGGGATGGGTAAATTCACACCTAACGGGTATAGTGCATACTATCTCAGTGATGGACACACATATAACTTGACTCAAACTGTAGAAAAGCAATAATATAACCAAAACATTTTCCAGAATATTACAGAATGTAACATACAGGAGTGATATTCTGGAAAAAAAGAGAGTATATTTATAGAGAGCAGGACATCCAGCTTCTGCGCAGAAAATTTTGTACCATCAGCAACGAAAGAGAGAATTAAATATGGGTGATATTGAGAAAGGCAAGAAGATTTTTGTTCAGAAGTGTGCCTAATGTCACACCTTGGAAAAGGGAGGCAAGCACAAGACTGGGCCAAATCTCCATGCTCTCTTTGGGCAGAAGACAAGTCAGGCCACTGGATTCTCTTACAAAGATGTCAGCAAGGACAAAGACATCGCCTGGGGAGAGGATACACTGATGGAGTATTTGGAGCGTTCCAAGAAGTACATCCCTGGAACAAAAATGATCTTCACTGGCATAAAGAAAAAGGCAGGAAAAGCAGACTTGATAGCTTATCTCCAAAAAACTGCTATGAGTAATGATTGGCCACTGCCTTATTTATTACAAAACAGAAATGTCTCATGACTTATTTATGTGTACCATAATTTATTGATCTCATACATCAGAGCTCAGATCATGAATGAATGACAGAATATTTTTGTTAGACAGTCCTGATTTAACTAAGACTGGCTTGCGGTTAAATGAATATGATCGGTTTTTTGAATTTTGATAGTAATTCCAATTCAGTAAATGCTGTCACTATTTTATTTTCCCCTTCTAAAGCTATGATTGGACTTGATTAGTAATGTTCAACTTTTCACAAAGATGGTAAATTGCCATCTCAGAATCTGAAGATTGGTTTTATATTTAGATTTATATAACTAGTTATGTAAATATATTTAAATACTAGGCAAATCCCTTCACTATCTCAGAACCAAGCAAGACTCACTGGTGTTTTTTTTTTATTTTTTTATTTCAGCATATTATGGGGGTACAGATGTTTAGGTTACGTATGTTGCCCTTGCCTCCCCTCCCCGCCTAAGTCCGAGTTTCAAATATGTCCATTCTTCAGGACTCACTGGTGTTTTAATTTGTGTTCATTAGCCTGTTAAAGGTGAGGGCTGGAGATAAGGCAGCAAGGTCTGCTTTTATATTTTTGATCTCAACTGTACCAATCTAATTCCCTCTATCTACCAAAATGCTGCCTTTTATTTATTGACATGCATTTTACTGTGGTTTATATGTAATATCAAATATGGAATATTTAACACTTCTTACAAAAAATAGGCCAAAATTTCAGAGACTTAATATTCAAACAGAACTGGAGTAAAACAGAAAGGAAGAAAAATTTCTAGTTTTCCTACCTCGCCATTCTCTACTTTGTATTTGACACTATTTCCTCAAGGAAAACTAGCCTTGTAGGGCCATGTATTTGCCAAATGATTTTCCTATTGTTTCCAACTAACTGTCTTAGAATGTCTCTGCTACAGTCTGGAGGCTTTGGGTTGGAGGTAGCATAATTTGTAAGATATTTTAAATTTGGTTATTTGGGGTTTAAAATATTTGTGTTTTAGGTACCTGTTAGGTAGGGGTATAAACCATGGAGTCTGGATGAGGCCTACCTGGTGATGATGTAAATCATAGAATAACAAATGAAGAACAAGACCTCAAACACAAGAAGCAATGATATTTGGAGGAAACAGGGAGAAAGATGACAATATTGGGACTTAGAAAAATTTGTGAAATTGTTCTT